CTCAACTGCACCCCCACGTCAACCTACCAAAGTCCATTTTTCTGTGGGTCACTGTGAACTCGATCGATAGATTATCGTAGGTTATGGTAACCTTAACCTGACCTCTGCGGTTGAGTGCATGGTGCATCGTTGCGTGCTAAATTCCGCAGAAAGGAACGATGTCGCGACAAGGACTTGCGGAGGCCGCGATCACCGCAGGGTTTAGGGTCAAGGGTTGTAGAAACATGACTTGAAGAGCTCGAACTGAAAAAGCCCTAAACCCTAAACTCTAACCTCCTGACCGTAAACCCTAGGCCCTAGATCCGAATAACCCTAAATTCTAACCCCCACTCCAAGCCCGACAAACAGATTTGCAGACTTGAAACCCCGGTGCGCATTCGGATTTCGAGTTTCGGAGTGTCAGGTTTCGTCACTTTCGCTGTCATCAGAGAGCGACAATGGTAGCAGCAAGAGAAAGCAGCAGCCGTCGGCTTCTGAGGGGGCAAGCACAAGTCCAACGTAGGCAACATAAACCCCATGGCCAAGAGAGGCACTGCACGGACTTAAGGCGGGTCTTTGACCGTGTTTGAACTTAACGGCTAAACTTTGCAAGGCAACGGCGAAAAAGTTACAGGAATGGGTCGCGCCGCTTGTGGAGGTACGATTTCGGCACGAGACTTCAGATGCAGGCTGTTGCCGCGAATATGTTAATCCATTGAGCCTGAGGGACGTAGACGCCGCTCGCCCTATGGCTTGACAGGTTTCACGGCTGACATAGTTATATTATAGTAGGTTTAATAGTTCTATTACAATAGGTTTAGTAGCTCTGTTAGATTTCGTTAGAAAGGTGATATTATAAGTTCTTGGTGTGTTGCATCACTGCAGCTTGCATCTCGCATCGAACCCTCCGGAGCTTGGCTGCAAAATCAACAGCAGCAAAACAGGTAAGCCCTAAACCGCCCTAAACTACCCTAAACCCTAAACCCCTAAACGGCCCTAAACCTCATGCACGAAGAAATCCCAAATCCTGCGCCGGTGTTCGAGGCCACCTCGTGGTATCGCATGGCTCGCGAGAAGGACCGTGTGGGTATGGCCATGGGCCGTTGGGGCCTGGAGGTGGGGTCCTGCCACAATTTCGGATTCGGATTTCTTTCGTAAGAGTATATTAATAATTGAATATGAATCAATAGGATCCGGATTTCTTTCGTAAGTTTAAAAATACTACAATATGACATCTGAGTTCTCGAGCCTTCGACCCCACTCGGGCTAAAGTTTAAGGATCTAGGTTTAGGGCTCCTCGACTGAGGTGTTGGGTTTGATTGGGTTTAAGTCCACTGGGTTCAGGCTTCCAGTCTTTGGATCCAGGCCTTAGGGATAGCAAGGTCCATTGCACGGAATAATTTGTACTGGTATCCCCTTAAAGCTCCTATGAGTTTACAAATATAGCTGTAAGATACCCCAATACCCGTTTCTAATGGTCACATTTTATTGGCAGCCGTCCTATGACAGGCACACAACTTCCTGGAAATCGCGACACGCGCACTCCGAGAAGAGCAGAGAGCCAGATAAAAAGGTCCGTTTGTGACGATGTAGGGTTTAGGCTTTTAGGCGATAACGTAGGGCACGAAACCTTAAATATTCAACCCCTCAGGTTCAGTTCTTCCGTTGTTTGCGTGTGCAAGTGCAGGCTTTCGATGCGAAACAGATAAGTATAACGTAGAGGGAGAGCCAGGCACTGACTCACACCACCCCGAAGCCAGCGTTTCTGATTCTGTTGTAAGTCTGACAGAGTGTGAGGACGTCGGTTCCAAGCCAGCAATTCCCATCAACTGAACCCCACAACCCGAAAGAGCCTTCGACCCTAAACCCCGAAATCCCCTAACGTCCCTGAATCCGTGTTGGCCGGTAACCACACCCAAAACCTCAAACCCGACGATCCTCAAAGAGAGAGGGCGTTTTAAACCTTTCTAGATCCTTTGTACATGTAGAGCCCATAGTATCAACTCCTCCGAGGAATTTCCTGGTAGGAGGCTCGCGGAGTGAATCCCCAAGCCTCAATCAGCACTTGCTTCAGTTGGGTTTAGGATTCAGGCTTTTGGGGTTTGAGGTTCAGGGTGTAGGAGTTGAGGGTTCCCACTTCTCGGGATTTGAGATAGGGCCTGGAGGAATCGGGTAGGAGTATTTCTTAACGCTCGCCAAAACGGCGGTCTAAGTCTACAGGCGCCTATAAGGCTTGAGGATTTACGGGTGAGGGTCTCCGATCTTATGACTTGGAGATTCAGGATCGATCGGATGGTTTGTGAGCTTTGGAGCATTTAGGGCCCTCCTTTCGCGCCCTGAGGCTCAAGAGGAGATTCGTCTCCTAAACCGTAGGTTGAGCACAAGTTATCTAAACAGCTTACAGCTAAGCCATGCCGCCAAAGGGAAAGGCAAAGAAGGACTGCACCTGCACAGGGTTGTGGGTCCGGTAGCATGTAGTATGCAGGGTGAGGGCGAATCTGAAACGGCCTTACTACGACCACATGGCAAAATTAGCAGCAATCCCGAAATCTTGCTCCTAGGCAGACCGCAAACTTGCAACCAAAACCTTAGTCTCCAAAAACATGTTTGAGCCTGATTCCCTACATGCCGAGCCCTAAACCCTAAACCCGAGACACTTGGAACCCTGAAGAGAAGATTAGCATGGCCATCGCGCAAGGATGACACATGCAAATCGAGAAGTGTAGCAAACAGCAACCTTCTACCCTAAACCCTGCCTTATCTCTATTATAAACCCTACACCCTAAACCCTAACCCCAGTTAGCCTGGTCAAAGCCCGCCCAACAGGGCCTCTTAGCAGATGCGAGAATAAAGGGCCGTAAAAAAAAAACCTAACTCCAAACCTGGCAGGAAGAGAAGGAGCTCGAGGAGAAAGACGAGCCCGAGATCGCGGATGGCGACGACGACAGTGATGATGACTCGGATGAGGAGTCCCAGGGCTGCGAGTTGTTTACACAAGCACAGGCTCAGAAGCACACACATGCGCACACACGCACACACACACAGATATATATATATATAGTAATATATATATATACATGTATATATATATATACATACATATATATAAATATGTATATATACATGTACACACATATAAGCATAAGTACAAAGTTTTAAACGTATATAAGTGCATATGTTTATAGATAAGATTGTTTAAAAGGGTTCCACAAAAAAACTTTGGTTTTTTCGGGCTGTGGAAAGGTTTGGAGTGTAGATTTAGGGTTTAGGCTTGGTGTGGGCTAAGGTTTTCATGTATAGGGTTTAGGGCTAAGGGTGCTTAGATTTCGGATGCTTTTCACTGCCATGGAACTCACAGGTTGAGTTCCGAGACACCAAGATTAGGGGTTTAGGGCTCTGTCTTAAGCCCTGTCTTTCACACGATCTTGCAGGACATGCCTCACCTGGAAGGAGGGGCCAAGGACGAGAAGCACAAGCAGAACAGGCGCCAAAACACCCTAAGCCCATGCCGCAGGAATTCCAATAGTTCATCCCTCTAAGCCCTACTTCGAAAGCCAAGATCCTTGGCCCTCAATCTTAGATGAGCAGGAACAGTCCCAAGGCCTGGTAGAATCCCAAGAAAGGCATTGGAGTCTGAATGCTGCGTCCTTTGCTTTGGGCTCACCTAGCGAACATCGTCCCTAGTGCTGGGGCTCGCCGCACTGTGCAGCTAAACTTCAAAGCCAGCATGGTGACGTAGCACGCGCACTACTAACGAAAGTCCGAGGACACCCCTATCGGGGCCCCATCGCTGCTGTTCTCCCTGGTCCTCTTTCCTGTCCTCATCATCCTTTTTCTCACCCTCTCCTCCTCAGCCTTGTCGTGCATTATCCGCTCAGAACAGCATACGTAGGCAGCATCGTCGTATTCCAACAAATCCGCCATCGTCATGGTCGTCGCCATCATCACAGCCGTCGACATTGTCATCATTACTCTCAGCATCACCAGCGTCACCATTCTCATTCTTACCAACCACACTGTGGCTAAGGCGGATCCGCTCGGAGTCATACCGCGTCGCACGCTTCTGGCTCGGAGCTTCTTAAATCCGAGCCTGTAGCCTTCAAATCTCTAGCCCCTAAACCCCTAAACCCGAAGGCCCTAAATCTTTACTGTAAGCTTGTTCACATCGCTTTGACCCCAATGTGTCAGGTCTGAAAAGAAGAGCCGCAAGGCAGTCGGAGACTCTTCATCCGGACCAGCGGATTGTTTTCTCAAAGTTCGAGGGTTTTTGCCAAAGTTCTTGGTGGTGCCTGTGGGGTTTAGGATTTGGGGGTTTAGGGGTTTAGGGTTTAGGGGTTTAGGGTTTGGGGGTTTAAAGCTGAAAAGGCTTCGGTTTTAGGGCTTCGGGGCCTAGAGTTAGTGTTTAGGGCTTCGCGTTTGCACTTGGGCACTTGACACCCTGGGCTGGCGTAAGATAAGTCTCTTTGGAATTTCTTAAAGTCCCTCCTAAACCCTACGCCCTAAAACCCTAAACCCTAACATTGGCGAGCCTGAGGAAGCCCCTGCTGGCCCACTGAAAGACGCCCAGTCGATTTCCAGAACTCCAGAACAATTAGGGGTTTAGGGTTTAGGGATTCATGTCAGTCCCACCCTTGTGAACTCCCTAAACCCTAAACTAAACCCTAAACCCCTAAACCCTAAACCCCTAAACTTTAAAAACCTAAAGTCCTAAACCCTAAACCCTACTAGCTCTGAAGTACATATTGATGGCCTTACTTTCTGAGGTCTCCAAGCTTGGCATGAAGCCCATCCCAGGCCCAGTCGATTCATGCTGTCGGGACGTGGCGATGTGGGTTTGGCTTGGGGGTTTGGTTTAGGGTTTAGGGTTTAGGTGCTGAATTCCTCGCTCAGGCATGCTTCTCAATGCGTATTGCTTCCGAAGGCCTTCTAGGCTTCAGTGCGGTGTATGCGTGGGAACGTACAGAGTAAGCAGAGCTTACTGCCAAGCATGCAGCACTTCACAAGCTAGCCAAACCGTGCAGGACCTTCGCATGCCGTGAAATAGTGCGTTTTCTTCAATTCGTGTGTGCGGTCATGGATTCGTCAGCTGCTACTCCTGGAGCCCCTGTAATACCTTCTCTTCAGCAGGGTATGAGCCCAACCAACGTGATGATTGAGGGCGAGACGAGAGGCCCAGACTATGGTCGCACGGCTCTCCAGCCGCTGCGTAGCTCTCAGCAGGAGTTTGGTATACAGGGTGCGGCATCGATGAACAATGGGGTGGTTCCTACACCTGTTGATGGTGATGTGCTGGGAACTGCTACTTCCCCTCTGGTGCCTGGAGGTACAGCATCTGTGACTGTGCAAGATATGGCTCCACGTCAGATTCCTCAGGATGGTGGAACAGTGGAAGCTTCGTCCTCGTGCGCGAGGACTGAAACCGGACCGGAGCCGCGACCAAACGTTTTTACCGGAACGGTGCGCGACGATGCTCGGGCTGTCGAGCCTGGAATATTTCCTCAATTTACGCCCTCTCCTTTACCTGGTCAGTCTCCGGTGGCAGCTCAAGGCGCAACAACGACCCGGGCTGCAGCATGGCTTTCCCGGTTGGGAGATTATCTTCAGAAGACTGTGGAGGTGACGTCGTGGACAGCTCATAGCCCAGCTGGCCTTGCAGCGACTTGGCCGAACAATGGGGCGTCTTCCTCGGCTATGCAGACCGTGTCGCCGACCTATGCGAGTCAGCAGGCCCCGGCTATTGAGCACAGGCCCCCGTCATCAAGTGGATCGGCGGGCGTATCTCCTGAGTTGGTTCAGGCTGAGGTGGCCAGACAGCTTGAGGTGGTCATGGGAGATTTCAACCAACAACTGCGCAAGGAAAGGGAGAGGTCGGACGAGGCGTTGAAGGAAGCTCAAGAGCTACGAAGGAAGCTGGAAATGCAAGAGATGAGAGTTTCCACGGAACCCAAGCCTACAGATGTGCCTATGTTACCGCCGCCTCCGGGACTACAAGTGCGTGAAGATATGGGCCCCGGAGTTTTCCCAGGAGTTACCACAAGTCATCCCCCGTCGGTCCCAGGACCCTGCGGTCCCCACCGCCAACATGATGCAGTACCTGGAGGCAATGATTATGTTCAAGGGCAAGGTTTGCTGGGTCAGGAAGGGCTTCCTTCGGGTCTACCTCAGAGTGTAGATCACTATATTTCGGGCGCCGGAGTTTCAGGAGTTACCGCAAGTCATCCCCCATCTGGTCCCATGATTTCGTTACCTTTGCCAAAGGTGCGCAACAGGTCACAGTCGCCAGGTCCACGTGTGTTCTTACAGGGTCTCTTTGGTCGAGGGGGTCAAAACAAGCAGGAGCCGCAGGTGGATGGGTCGCGCAGCAGAGCAGCAGTTCAGGACATTGGTGACTCACAGCTACCTGCGCAAGCAACTACAGGACCAGGTCCCTCGATGAACCCCGAAGGCAATCTATTGACTACAATGGCTCGAGGTATAGAGGCTCTTTTACGACAACAAGAACAGATGGGACCCCGAGCAGACAGACCTGAAACCGTAAAGCCTGGCATCACGGATCTTCCTCGCCTTCCCGAATATCAACCTATGACTGGAAGCATAGACCTCTTGAACTGGCTTACACACATACAGCCGATTATGGAGGATCTTTCGGATACAAGCTATGCCTGGTGGGAAGGGACACTTCAGGATGCAGCAGCGTGGTATACCAGTTACAGTGCTGCCTCCCCGCTTGAGCGACTTCGCCTGAAACCTCTTTCTTCCGAAGGACTTCATCGTCCAGAGTGGGCACGTGTGGAACGGCGTGCCACGGCAATGATGCTTTCGGCGGTGCCACCTCAAGTACGTGAAGAAGTCATTGCAATGGGCAATGTGAGCTCGCTGGCGCTGTTGTGTAAACTTTATGCTGTGTACCAGCCAGGGAACCTTCAAGAAAAGGCTTTGGTCTTGCAAAGGCTGGAGCGACCTGATGAATGTGACACCGCCTTGCAGGCGGTAGAAGTTTTGAGAAAATGGACATTGTGGCGGCGCAGGGCGTCGTCCATTGGCATTGCGGAGCCGGACGCCTCGGTGTTGATCCAGGGCCTCGACCGCATCACCATGAAGGTCGTGAAGGCCAACAGCGAGCTCAGTTTTCGGGTTTCGTTGATACGGAGTACCCTGCAGGTGGATGTGTGCCCGAGCCTTCAGTCGGTCACGAGCTTTCATCAGCATCTTCAGGCTGAGATGGAGCAGCAGGCGAGACTTTCGGTCACTCAGAGTGTCGGAGGAGGAACTCCGGGCTTGAGAGCAATCAATGCAGCGAATCCTTCGAGCGAGGTTGTACCATCCTCGGCTACGGCATCACCAACGACGTCCCCGAAAGGACCGGCATCGGGCTTGTGCAAGTACTTCCTTGGTGATCGTGGGTGTCGGCGGGGGAATACGTGCAGGTTCCCTCATACGTGGAGTTTGTTGGAGAAAGGTGCAAGATCGAAGAAGTGTTTGGCTTGCGGCTCTACCACTCACAAAGTGAAGGAGTGCAGGTCCCCTGGAGGTGGAGCAGCGAAGAATGCTGGATCACGTTCGACTGCCAATGGAGCGGGTGAGACGGGCTCGACTTCTCCTACGGCCTCCAGCCCGGCTCAGGCTCAGCGAAAGGTGGAGTTTGTTGAAAATGATGGGGAGATCCGCGCGAAGGTGCTCAAGGTTCTGTCTGAAGTTCAGCATCTTCCGATGGTTAAGTCGTTGATGGACAAGATTCGAGAGTGGGTGTCTTTGACCCCTCCCCCTACGGCTTCAAGGAGATTGGCTCTTCTGGATTCGGGAGCCACCCATGTGCTTCGGGCCCCAAAGACCTCAGCAGAGTGGGAGCTCGCGCGGGAAGTCAAGGTTCAGTTGGCTGGGGATTCAGTCACAGCTATGAAGCAAAACGAAGCAGGCTCTTTGCTGACGGGCGACCAGCTGGCCCAGGTGATCGTCCCTCTTGGCAAGGTCATCAAGGACCTTGGATACCAGTTGTTGTGGACTTCCGAGGTGTGTGAGCTTGTGGGTCCTGAAGGTGATGTCTTGCCCCTCACGGTGAGGAATGGATGTCCAGAGGTCACTGAAAAGGTGGCTTACCATTTGATTCAGCAGTTGGAGGCTCAGCAGCTTCCAGAACTGGAGGGCACCACTGAGGCTTCCATGTGTGCGATTGCTGAGCTGAAGTCAAGCTGGTGGTCCTATTTGAAGGAGTATGTCAAGACAAACAATGTGACCGAGGCCCACCGAGCGCTTGACAAGGCAACCTTCTTTGATTATAAAGAAGTCGTAAAGGAGGAGATGATTACAAGGGTCCCGCGTGAAGGGATCTGGAGCTTGATGAAGAACTTGCAAGTGAATCGCAGGGCGCGAAAGAGGTTGTTGAGGGCCTCCTCGTGGATCCTCAGGTGGGACTCCCCGGCGGTTGAAAAGGTCAAGGACCCAATGAAGCACTTGATGTTCTATGGCGACAAGGTGTACGTCAACATGAATGCCTTGCTTGTGGAAAATGAGTTCCCTGAGGTGTGGAGGGTTGTTCAGTGGGCGGCTTTCCATGGAAGGGTTGGAGCTGTGGTGGCCAAGGATGCAGCGGCTAAGCCCATGGATCAGGTTGTTGCCCGTCCTCACCGGAGCAAGGTTCATTTCCTTCATGCGTTGGCCTCGGCGGCACGAGAGGTACATGGAGGAGAGTTGGTTCGTTTCTATGTGGAAGATTGGGAGAGGGTTCAGCGTGTTAGAAGAGGAGATGATGATCCTTGGGCGTCCACCTGGCCGCCGTGGACCCTTTGCCCTTCGGCTCAGGCGTACATATGTGAAATGGGACTGTCAGACGTTTCTGTGGGAGATATAGTCGTCCCATGTGCTTTGAGGGCAGCCCGCTTGAGTGAGGACGCGTCGTGGAGGCTACATGTTGCTCGAAACCACCAGCCCTTCAGGAGAGACTGCTCTGTGTGTGTGAGAAACAGTGCAGCGGGCCGCCAGCATCGTACCACTGCACATCCGATGGCTTATACGCTGAGTGTGGACGTGGTTGGGCCGTTGAAGGGGTTTGGAAAGTCACCCGACGGGAAGTTCTTTAAGTACTTTGTCATTGGGGCTTTGAGGATCCCGAGGATTGGCGACAAAGAACCTCTAGGTGACGTTCGTGGACATCCTCTACCACCTCTTGAACCCGAAGGTGAAGATCAGCTTTCCGAGGACGAGGCAGCGGACTTTGGTGAGGTTGTGGATGGTGGGGGTGTGGATCCTTCAGAACTTGAACGTGAGGAACAACAATGGAAGGAGTTGGTATCTACGTTCAAGGAGCCCATCCTCACCTCGACCCTGTACTTTGCGGTCCCTGTGAACAATAAGAAGGCTGCGACTATGCTGCCAGCAGTTCAGCGTATCGTGGTGGATGTGAAGGCCCTCGGCTACCCCGTGACCCGAATTCATTCGGATCGAGGAGGAGAGTTTCGTGGAAACCTGGTGAGGAAATGGGCTCTGTCGCAAGGTATGTGGCCTACAACCACGTCTGGCTCGGATTCTGCTGCCAATGGGGTCGCAGAGTCGGGAGTACGATATCTCAAGCGCAGAGCACGCATACTCTTGGACAGTGCGGGCCTACCCAAAGAAAATTGGCCTACGGCGGTGCAGTATGCGGCTGCCCAACAACGAAGCGACCAGCTTGGAACCGTGCCGATGATGCCAGTGGCCTATGGTACCAAAGTTTACGTGAAGACAAAGCGCTACAAGACTGGGGCGGTGGAGGATTTTGGCCCCCACTGGACAAGAGGGCGCTATGCTGGCCCTTCTACGGACATTCGTGGTGGGCACGTCATCATCAAGGACACGGGCACCTTCATCCAGACGACCCATGTCAGGATAACCAAGGAGCCGCCTCCGTTAGAAGAGGTTGCCCCAGCCGTTGCGGTGGACTCTTATGTGGATGACGAAGGCCCACATGAAGGACCACCCTTACCACCTCCTCTACTACCACCACCTCCCCGGCGCGTGCGCCTAAAGGCTCCTGCGGTGTCCAAGGTTGATGGAGATTATCCTCAAAATGAAGTGTTGTATGAGACGCCTACTGAGGAGGACATCTTTGATGAGGAGGAGCCGGGCTTGAAGTATTTGCGGGTTGGTGAAATCCAATACTTGGAGACGATTGCTCGGCAGTTGTATCAGGAGGACAAGTTTGATGAGGGTGATGTTGCTCGACTCCTGTCGCTATTTGCGGGTACATGTGGGAACTTGAGGGTTCCGAGAGCACCAAAAGGAAAGGGGCTGATCATCGGGGCCTACGTTCATGGTGGGGCATTTGGCCTTACTCGTTATGGTCGTGATCTACCTTGGGTGGCGCGTTATTTCAATGACTACCTGACTCGGAAGATCCAAGGTAAATGGCCAACCTTGAAGCCTTCGTGGACTACGCTTGCCATTCAGGCCGCAAGTGAGGTGCCCAAGCACCGGGACAGCCGCAATGAAAGAGGTACCTACAACTACGTGATGGAGCTCAAGACGAACTCATTGGAAGGGTTGTGGGTGGAAGATCGTGATGATCGGCGACAAGTGATTGGTGGCTCAGGTGCGCAAGATTATCAATATGAGGGCCAGGATGGTAAAGTGTATGATGGTTGTCTGTTGGATGTGAAGCAGGAACCGGCGGTGTTTGACCCGTTGATCCCGCATGCCTATGTGAAGGGCGAGAATGAGAAGTGGTTTTTATCGGCCTACACTCCACAAGGTGCGTATAAGTTGAGTGGGCACGATTTGAAGTACTTGGAGGATGTTGGATTTCCTCTACAGCTTCCATGTGAAGATCAGGTCAATCACAGCGGGGCACTGGAAACCACACCGGTGCTAAAGGCAACTTCCTTGTCATCTAGGACGTCATTGAGCGGAGCTCATGGTGAGGATGATGGAGTTGAGGTAGTCACTGCTGGGGATTGTGAAGCCACTTTGTGGGATTGGGCAATGTATATCGAGCAGGAACATGGCCCTATGGATGGTGATTCTGCTTGTGGGAAGTTATTGTGCAAGGTGTGTGCCTCTGATGATCCTGGTGTTGAGCTGGGTGTGTTGACAAAAGTCCCCGGGCTCTTGAATGAGGAGGAGCCGGGAGATGCCAATCTTTCCGATATGCACGAGAATGTGGAGTATTGGTCTTCCTTGGGCCTCTACGACTTCCCCCCGTGTTGCGAAGTTGGAGCCGGAATATGTTGAGGGCATCGAGGATATCATTGGCAAGGCCGTTGCGGGCGGGACTCCTTTGAGGCACACCTACAACGTGAGCCCTCAAGAAGCCAAGGCGGTTATTGAAAAATGGAGACCAGCCATTGTCAAGGAGCTTGGTGTGGTCGAGCGTGGCTTCAAGAGAATTACCACGGCAGACGTAGCCCGTTTGAGGGCCACAACAACAGTGCAGGAGCTTCCTTCGAAGCTGGTGTATACTGTTAAACCCCCATCTGGGGATGATTCCGTTGATGAGCGTGCCTATTGCAGGCGCAAGGCCCGCATTGTATGCTGCGGTAACTATGCTTCCGAAGAACAGTCGGAGTTGTATGCGGGTGGAGCTGCGGCCGAGAGCTTGAGATGCGCGTTGACGTACACAGCCAGGAGACGGTGGAGATCAGGCATCACCGACATCACCGGGGCTTTCATGCTGACGCCCCTTCCGACTGGGGATGGCCAAATCGTCTACATTATTCGGCCCCCTGCGGCTTTGGTGCAACTTGGCCTTGTTGACCCTCAAGAACGGTGGCAGCTGACCCATGGAATGTACGGCTTGAGACAGAGCCCCAAGCTATGGTCATCGTTCCGTGACAATGAGTTGAAGAAGATGGTTGTGAAACACCAAGGTAAGGTTTGGGTGTTGCAGCAGGGCACTGCAGAGCCAAATATGTGGTTGGTTCGTGAGCAGGGGGCACCTATGGACCAAGAACCTGACGGTTTGGTGCTCGTCTATGTCGACGATATCCTTATCAGTGGACCTGCTTGGTTGGTGGAGCTGTTGGCTACTACAATCCGAGGTGTATGGAAGGCGTCACCGCTTGAGATGTTGGAGGTGAACCATGAGATACGCTTCCTGGGCTGCGAGATTGCAGTTTCGGAAGACTATGACGCCATCTACGTGCACCAGCGACCCTACATTGAGGAGATCTTGCGGCAGTACGCCACCCCCGAGACCGAGCAGTCGCCCATCCAGGCGCCGAAGGAGCTGGTATCTTTCGAGGCTCGCGAAGGAGAAGAATGTGGGACGGAAGAGCAAATCAGACAGGCTCAGAAGGCCTGTGGGGAATTACTCTGGATCGCCCAGAGAAGCCGCCCTGACCTCTCCTTCGTGGTTTGTGCTATGGGTTCCCTACTGACGAGGGCAGCTCCTCGGTGTCTCAACATAGCGGCTCGCCTGCGGTCCTACTTGCAGCGAACAAAGGGCCTGGCCCTTTCCCTACGACCTACCAACGACCAGCTGGTCGTTTACAGCGACAGCTCGTTTGCTCCGGAAGGATCAAAAAGCCATTCTGGCTTTGTGGCGGTGTGGCTGGGAGCTCCAGTTTGCTGGAGATCAGCGAGGCAGCCGTTCACATGCCTGTCAACGGCAGAATGCGAGTTATTGGCAGCTACAGAGGGGCTCGTGATGGGCAAAAGCATCGAGTCTGTGCTTGCTCAGTTGATGCCGAATGTGGGTGCGATCCACCTGAAGGTGGACAATCAAGCGGCTATCAGCCTGGCTAAACCGTGCTCGTCGTCGTCGTGGCGTACACGTCATCTCCGTGTACGTGCCTCATACATACACGAACAAGTGATCGACGAGCGTGTGATGGTTGTGTTTGTGGCTGGAAAACAACAACAATGGGCAGACCTCCTGACAAAGTCCTTTCCACGTCAACGGTTGGAGGAGTTGATCAAGATATGGGGCTTTGTCGATACTGCAGTGGAGACATCCAAGATTGCGGTTGTTCGTGCCTTAGTTGCCTGTATGATGGTGCAAACGGCGCGGGCCCAGGAGGAGACCCCACTGGCGTTGACTATGTCTTTCGAGCTCTATGTGATGGTGATCTTGTTGGCGATTGTGGCTGTGGCTTTGTGGGAGCTTTTATGGTGGTGTGTTGATCGCTGCTGTGGAGAAGTGAGACCCTCAAGGTCGGCCAGGAGACTTCGAAACCCCCAAGAGACCATTCAAAGGGAGATTGAGGCGCAAATTGCGGAGCGCCGTCCTCCTACATCCCCGTTGCCGAGGAGCTCTACACAGGCGAGCGAGCCTACAGGATCACCACCGGCTGGGAGTCCTGAAAGGGCCCCCTCACCAATGGCTACAAGTACGGCGTCTTCATCGGCGAGACCATCTACGAGGAGGGCACCGCGCCCCCCTTCTACAAGACCGAGTACCCTTACAGAGCCTGCGGAAATTACTACCAGGCCTTCTACGCGTGAGGCAGAAGTCCAGATCGATGCAAGACCCCTGATATGCTATCAGGATCGTGAAGTTCCAGTTGCGGTGCCGGATCCCAGCCTTTGGAACTATCCACTCTATGTGAGTCCCCATGGTGATACCTACCACACGTTTGAGTCTTGCTGGGGACTCAGGAACACTCGCGCCAGGGCAGTAAGATTCTGCCAATGTTGTCGTGACAACCATGGACGCTCCCTGAGGGACCATGGACGTGGATGAGCATGCCAGATTTGTAAAGGTTGGGATGATGCCTTTTCTTTGTCAAGACAGGCAAGGAGGAGTGCTGAATTCCTCGCTCAGGCATGCTTCTCAATGCGTATTGCTTCCGAAGGCCTTCTAGGCTTCAGTGCGGTGTATGCGTGGGAACGTACAGAGTAAGCAGAGCTTACTGCCAAGCATGCAGCACTTCACAAGCTAGCCAAACCGTGCAGGACCTTCGCATGCCGTGAAATAGTGCGTTTTCTTCAATTCGTGTGTGCGGTCATGGATTCGTCAGCTGCTACTCCTGGAGCCCCTGTAATACCTTCTCTTCAGCATTAGGGGTTTAGGGGTTTAGGGTTTAGGGTTTTGTATGTAGGATTTTGGGTTCAAGGTTGGTTTCGGGCTCTTTGATTCGCGAACTTTAAGGGTCATGAACCTTGTTGGCAGAATGAACCCCATAAACTCTTACCCATGGGTGGACCGAAGTTCAGGTTTGGACAGGATCTTCTGAAGCTGAGGGTTGGATGTTGCAGTGTTTCGGAAAAGTTGTGCTTACTTGGTACGTTCATTGTTTTGGAGAGTTTGGTGCTCAGGACCGCAGCGCAGCCAGGCAGCTCGAGTTCCGTTCAAACCGTTGGTGATGTTGGGATGATGTTTCGCTTCTAGTTATGACAATTACGGAGGCCCCTCTTGCTGCCGGCAGAGTGGCAAGCACGATGCAGGCAACAAAGAGATGAAATCGATGCCCACGTCGAGGATGATAGCGACTATAGAAACCCACCATTTTCAACTCGGCTGCCTATCAGCATCCTCACTGTGACCGCAGCAACGACGAAGACAACACTGGTAAGGATTCTAAGCTTTAAACCTTAAACCCTATGCCTATGCCCACTGCCTGCATGCAAAGATTCGGGAAGGGCGATGGCAAGCATGGTTATAGATGCCTGGGGATGAATCAACCGGCAGTTGACCGATGCTGGTTTCGCGCCTGACATTGTGCTTCTTCGTGGTTCAGGGACGGCATGAGAGCGTCTCCACTCCGATTTGGAAGACTATTTCGGAACTTGTGCATCCTAGCGGCCCAGCGAGGATCAAGGGGTAGACCACCCGAATGCATGCCACACCTTGCCCGTTCAGGCATCACTCGTGTGACCGTCAAGAAGAGTGCTAGCCTTACTGGGGCACTTGTCGGGGTAGTTTGACTCTCGGCTGGCTATGCAGAATCAGGTATTTCTGCGCCGAGCTTGTAAGCTCAGCAACCCTGACACATGTTTGAAATCCTGACTCTGAACTGACTTTTGTGCCGTCAGTGCGGGGCCGGCATCCTTGCAGCCAGACTGCCGGAATTCGCAGTATGCAGACCATCATTGCTGCGGGGATGTCTTTAGCGGACGTGCCGAGGCAAGAATATCCTCTTCGTGATTGCGAACCCGGATGTCCACAAAGCACAGTCCTCCGACACGTGCCCTGTCACGCAATGAAACCGGAAGGTCATGATGATGAACTCAATGTGCTAACATTGACTACCGTACTGCAGCTCACGATGCACATCAACAACGGAAAGCATAAATCTACAAAATTCTGTGCGTGACGTGCTGAGAGAAAGGGCTATGAATATCAGGGTGGTCATCAGTGCAGCTAGGATGTCCATGGTCGATGTATGTCGATCTGGCCGTGGCTGGGTCGAGGTGCTTGTCGTCGTAGCAGCAGCAGCAGCAGCAGCAGCAGCAGCTGCTGCTGCTGCTGCTGCTGCTGCTGGTGTTGGTGTTGGTGTTGGTGTTGGCATTTGTCTTGTTAATGTTCTTGTTTTTGTTCTTGTTCTTGTTCTTGCTCTTGTTCTTGTTCTTGTTGTTGGTTGTTGGCTGTTGGCTGTTGGCGTTGCTGTTGCTGTTGCTGTTGCTGTTGCTGTTGCTGTTGCTGTTGCTGTTGCTGTTGCTGTTGCTGCTGCTGCTGCTGCTGCCGCCGCCGCCGCGGCTGCTGCTGCTGCTGCTACTGCTGCTGCTACTGCTACTCTGCTACTACTACTACTACTACGACGACGACCACCACTACTACTACTACTACTCCTACTGCTACTACTACTACTACTACTAC